TGAGGGGTGCGCCGGAATGAAGGGTGGAACTGCATGCGGGCGTGGCCATTGGGGCCTTCGGTGGAGCACCCTGTGAGGCCACGAAAACGTGTGCGGGGTGCGCCGGATTGGGGGTGGAACTGCATGCGGACACTGCCACTGCATGAGGACTTTGGTGGAGCACCTTCTGGAGCCACCGAACGTGCGAGGGGTGCGCCGAAATGGAGGTGGCACTGCATGCGGACCCTGCCACTGGGGCTTTCGGTGGACCAGACTATGGTCACAAAACGTGTGAATGGTGCGCCGAAAACGAGGGTGGAACTGCATGCGAACCCTGCCGCTGGGGCCCTGGGTGGAACACCTCATGGGGCCACAAAACATGTAAGGGGTGCGCCAGAATGGAGGTGGAACTGCATGCGGACCCTGCCACTGGGGCCTTCGGTGGAGCAACCTATGGGGCCACGAAGCGGGTGAGGGCGCCGAAATGGAAGTGGAACTACATGCGGACCCTGCCACTGGGGCCTTCGGCGGAGCACCCGATGGGGCCGCGGAACGTGCGAAGGGGGGGCGCCAAAATGAAGGTGGAACTGCATGCGGACACTGCCACTGGGGCCCTGGGTGGAACACCCCATGGGGCCACGAAACATGTAAGGGGTGCGCCGACATGGGAGTGGAACTGCATGTGGACCCTGCCATTGGGGCCATCGATGGATGACCCCATTGTGCCACGAAACGTGTGAGGGGTGCGCTGGAACAGAGGTGGAACTGCACGCGGACCCTGCCACTAGGGCCTTCGGCGGAGCACCCTATGTGGCCGCGGAACGTTCGAAGTGTGCGCCGAAATAGAGGTGGAACTGCATACGGACCCTGCCACTAGGGCCTTCGGTGGAGCTCCCTTGGGGCCACGAAGCGTGTGAAGGGTGCGCCGAAATTCAGGGTGGAACCGCGTGCGAGCCCTGCTGTTGAGACCTTCGGCGGAGCACCCAATTGGGCCGCGAAACGTGTGAAGGGTGCGCTGGAATGGAGGTGGAACTGCATGCAGACCCTGTCACTGGGGCCTGGGGATGGAGCTCCCTATGGGGCCACGAAATATGTGAGGGGTGCGCCGAAATGGGCATGCGAGAGCGCAGAGGCAGGAATGGGAGGAGGGAGGAGGAGGAGGAGGAGGAAGGAGGAGACAGGAATGGGAGGAGGGAGGAGGAAGGATAGGAGTGCCTCGGGGCGCTGTCTCTTCAAAACGAGGACCCAACACCACAGGGATACACGAGGTTAGGAAAAACTGGGGCGCTATCTCTTCAAAACGAGGTTAGGAAAAAACTTAGACTGGCGAGGGACTCACCCATATTCAGTTGAGGGCAACGCAAGTGTGAGCATCGTCTTCGGTGGAGATCCCTATGTGGCCACGAAGCGTGTGGAGTTTGCCGAAATGGATGCCAGGGACGACGCATGCGAACGGTGCCACTGACCTTCGTGGAGCTCCCTATGGGGCCACGAAGCGTGTGAGGGGTGCTCCGACGGGAACGCGTGCGAACGGTGCCACTGGGACCTTCGGCGGAGCACCCCATGGGGCCACGAGACGTGTGAGGGGTGCAGGAAAATGGGGATGGAACTGCCTGCGGACCCTGCCACTGGGGCCATCGATGGATCACCCTATTGTGCCACGAAACGTGTGAGGGGTGCGCCGAAATGGAGTTGGACCTTCGTGTTGATCCTGCCACTGGGGCCTTGGGGCCTTCGGTGGAGCACCCCATGGAGCCACGAAACGTGTGAGGGGTGCGCCGGAACAGAGGTGGAACTGCATGCGGACCCTGCCACTCGGACCTTCGGCGGAGCACCCTATGGAGCCACGAAACATGTAAGGGGTGCGCCGAAATAGAGGTGGAACTGCATGCGGGCCCTGCTACTGGGGCCTTCGGTGGAGCACCCTATGGGGCCGCGGAACGTGCGAGGGGTGCACAGAAAATGGGGCGGAACTGCATGCTGACCCTGCCACTGGGGCCTTCGGCGGAGCACCCTGTGGGGCGACGAAACGTGTGAAGGGTGCGAGGACATGAAAGTGGAACTTCGTGCGGACCCTGCCACTGGGGCCTTGGGTGGAGCTCCCTTGGGGCCACGAAGCGTGTGAGGGTGCGCCGAAGTGGGGGTGGAACAGCATGCGGGCACTGCCACTGGGGCCTTCGGTGGTTCTCCCTTGGGGCCACGAAACGTGTGAGGGGTGCGCCGGAACATGGATGGAACTGCATGCGGACCCTGCCACTGGGGCCTTCGGCGGAGCACCCTGTGCGGCCACAAAACGTGTAAGGGGTGCGCCAGAATGGAGGTAGAACTGCATGCGGACCCTGCTACTGGGGCCTTCGGTGGAGCACCCCATGTGGCCACGAAATGTGTGAGGGGTGCGACGAAATGCGGTTGGAACTGCATGCGGACCCTGCCACTGGGGCCTTCGGCGGAGCACCCAATTGGGCCGCGAAACGTATGAGGGGTGCGCCGACATGGAGGTGGAACTGCATGCACCCATCTGACGACCATGAGGACATGCGCAGGGTAGGGGCAAGGACGGAAGGAGGGAGGAGGAGGAGGAGAAGGAGGGGGTGAGGAGGAGGAGTAGCAGGAGGAGGAGGAGGAGGAGGAGGAGGAGGAGGAGGAGGAGGAGCTGAGGAGGAGGAGAGGAGGAGGAAGGAGGAGGAGGAGGAGAGGAAGGAGAGGAGAGGAGAGGAGAGGAGAGGAGAGGAGAGGAGACGAGAGGAGAGGAGAGGAGAAGAGGAGGACGCGGAACGCTGTCTCTTCAGAAAGAGGGCCCAACATCACAGGATGGTTAGGAACGCGTGCACGCGTCCGAGCGACGCCAAGGGTGCGCCCCAACATACGAACGAAGTCTATGGCCGAAGAACTGCGCCTCCTCTGCGGGGTCTGCGGGGTGGGCCTCGCGGGGGTCTTCAACGCCGCCCCCCTCTGAGGCTCGCCCTCTCGATCGAGGGCCCCGGCGCCCCCCCCGGCGGGGAGAGGGCAGTGCCGGTGCTCTTCCTCGGTCCCGGCCTCCGCAGAGGCCTCCTAGATTTATGTCGGGCGTGTCTCCCTGCAGGGGGATTTTCGACGAACAATTGAGAATACTCCAAAAATACCCCACGAAGGCCAAAAAATACTCCAAAAATAGTCCCCAGGCTATTTGTTGGATTATTTTTTGAATATTGTTGGGGTACTTTTAACTTTTCGTCGAAAATCCCCCTGTAGGGGGACAGGCCCGACCTAATCCTAGCTAGGGGTCCAAGTAGATGGGGTCGGAGGATCACGCCGCATCGGCGATGCATCGCCGATACATCGGCGATGCATCGGCGACGTCGGAGGAGCTTCGGCGAGGCCAGCGCGGAGAAAATCGGGCTCCACATCGAGCCGCATCGGCGATGCGTCGGCGATGCAGCGCAATCCTCCGACCCCATCTACTGGGACCCCATTTAGGAGGCCTCGACTCCAGAGCCCTTTTTTCGGTCGGCTACGCGCAAGGGTGACTCTGCCCAGACCTCCAGCGCATGGAAGGATTCAAGGACGGAAGCTTCTCTTGATTTTCGGCCTCTGAGGACCCTCGCTGGGCCCCATGACCGTCGCAAAACGAGTCGGGGTGCCACACCAGCCCTGGGGAAAGGGCCGGGTCTTCCGGGGGACCCGGCATTGAAGCAATTAGCCTGGAGCTCCCTATGAGGCTACGAAACGCTGTCCTGGGTGGCGTTGACGCATGCGGCCTGTGCCACTGGAGCCTTGGGTGGAGCTCCCCATGGGGCCACGAAGCGCTGTCCTGGGCGGCGTTGACGCATGCGGCCTGTGCCACTGGAGGAGCCTTCGGTGGAGCTCCCTGTGAGGCTACGAAACGCTGTCCTGGGTGGCGTTGACGCATCCGGCCTGTGCCACTGGAGCCTTCGGTGGAGCTTCCCATGGGGCCACGAAGCGCTGTCCTGGGTGGCGTTGACGCATGTGGCCTGTGCCACTGGAGCCTTCGGTGGAGCTCCATATGGGGCCACGACAACCCCGCATTGAAGCAAAAACAATACAGCGGAGCTCTGCGTATGCAAAAACGACCTTTGTTTGCGTTGCTTTCGGGGGCCGCGAGGACGCCAAATCCAAGCGTTTAGGCCCGTGCCGGGGAGACCCCTGTGGGTCAAGGGTCACTCCGGCTGAGGGTCCCCCTCACGCGTAGCCAATCCTATCCCCGCGGCTGCGCGAAGCGATGCGGGATGAAATGCCGCGAGCCTAACCCCTCCCGTGCGAGGCGGGGACTTCCCCATATCCACCGCCTGGGAACCGACGCCTGGGTGCCCCAGCGGGCGGTGGAGACGGGTGTATTCGGGCCCCTGGGGGCCCGAATACATTTAGGTCGGGCATGTTCTCCTAAAAGGCGGATGTTGGCAGAGAAGCCAAGAACAGTGAAAACAGATTCGAAAATAATCAAAAATCGGGGAATCGTCCCCCGATTTTTGTTATGACCATGTGTGAATATCCCTGCTGTACAAGGACATGCCCGGTTGAAGGATATATCCACGTCCCCCAACCTGATCCGCGCCCCGGAGGCGGCCCCCCTCTCCCGAGATGGGTGGCGAGCGTGGGCAGGAGGGAAGGGGGGGTGGGGGCATGCAGAGGAGGAGGAGGAGGAGGAGGAGGAGGAGGAGGAGGAGGAGGAGGAGGAGGAGGAGGAGGGGAGGAGGAGGGAGGAGGAGGAGGAGGAGGAAGAAAGGAGGAGGAGGAGGAGGAGGAAAAGGAGGAGGAGGAGAGGAAAAGGAGGAAAAGGAGGAGGATCAGGAGGAGGAGGAGATGAGCAGGAAGGAGAGGAGGAGGAGGAGGAGAGGAGGAGGAGGAGGAGGAGGAGGAGGAGGAGGAGGAGTGGTGGTGGTGGTGGAGGATTTGGCCATCAAATGGTCGTGGTGGTGGGGGAATGGTCTCCTCCGTCCTACCTGTGGCAGCGGCGATGTAGACTTGGCCCATCACATGCGGGGCCCCCGAACGTCCCGACCCTTTCCCCGGGGCCGGTTCTCTCATCCTGGGTCGCTCCCTGGAGGAGGAGGAGGAGGAGGAGGATCAGGAGGAGGAGGAGGAGGAGGCGCAGGAGGAGGAGGAGGAGGAGGAGGAGGAGGAGGAGGAGGAGGAGGAGGAGGAAGACACCTCTCGCCGCCCCGACGCCGGGGGCCCCCCCCACTGCGGCGAGAGGCGCTGCTGGAGGGGCGCGCGCCGCCCGCGTCGGGCAGCGGGGCGCGCCAGGCGCTGCTGGAGGGGCGCGCTCCGGCGCCGGGCGTCGCCGAGGATCTGGAGCCACCGTGATCGAAGTCGAAGCGGACGACGATAGCGGTGATGTCGTCGACGACCTTCGGCGGAGGAGGCGGTACCCATAGTGCTGGCCTTACCTGGGCTCGTTTTCGCCTTTTTGGGCCTCCTCGGAGGCCCCTGTCGCCACCGCTGGATTCGCCTCGTTAAATTCTGGTCAGAACGCGCCCGGGGAGAGGTCCAGGGAGTAGCGGTATCCGTACCTCTTGATTTCCCCAGACCTGGCCCTCGGTCACCTGCTGCCACCTCTTCTTCGCGAAGTCGGCGATCTCCCTGGCGGCAGCGGTAGGGTTCTCGCGCCGCGCCGCGATCTCTACGACTTCCTGTGAGCTCATGTGGTCCCAGACGCCGTCTGAGCCGACGACGAGGACTTTGTCGCGGCTGTCCAACCGCTTCTCCTGAAAATCGGGGACGGCGATCACCGCTGGTCTCAGTCGCAAGTCGCCCAAGGACCTCAGGCCGAAACATAATCTCTCATCTCTCACCCCCTCCTCTACGCGGGTAGTGTGCTCGACCATGTCTTGACATCACGTCGAGCAAAAGGCAACGAACTCTAGGTCCGATGGGCCGTGCAATGATCGAAGTCTGTTGGCGATACCAATTGCCCAGCGTGTGCACATGGAAGCCTTCAAATGGGGTCCGAGTAGATGGTGTCGGAAGATCGCGCCGCAAGGGTGCTCTCGGCGTGTCCAGGAATCGGGCTCCACATCGAGCCGCATCGCAGATGCATTTACGATGCGGTACAATCCTCCGGTCCCGCCTACTTCGATCCAAGATAGGAGGTCTGAATTTTGTGAACAATGACTTCGGCGCGACCCCAATGAGAGAGGTTCCTTTTGAAAATGAACCCGAGGAGCCCGGGGAACCTGGGGAATCCGAGGAACGCGGGGAACCCGGAGGACCTGGGGAACCCGAGGAACCTGGGGAGCCAGGGGAACCCGGGGAACCCAAAGAACCCAGGGAGCCCGAGAAACTTCCGAGGAGTGGGCAACGTAACAATACGAGGCACCGGGAGAAACCTCCGAGGAACGGGCAACGTGAGAATCGGAGGCACCGAGGGCGAGGAATCGGGGAATCCGAGGAATCTGGGGAACCTCCGAGGAACGGGCAAAGTAACTCCCGAGGCACAAATCTTTAACCAAATATAAGAACCCCTTGGGCAAGCCAAATGTGGGAACTGACTTCTGGACGGCATTCGCCCCAGACTCGCCTGGACATGGCCAAGCCACCCGTGCCTTCCCTCGTCATCACGCGCTCGGGCCCCACGCGTACCCAACGCACGGTGCCCCTGGCGGTGTGCATCGGCAGAATGCTCCGGTCCACCCGGCCTCCCGCTGCGATGACGCGCTTCCGCTCGTCGTCGCGGCAAGGCTTGTGGTCCACCGAGAGTTCTACGGCGCGGACGGTGCCGGAGGCATCCGCGTCGCAGCGTCCCAGCACCGCGCGGGAGTCCCCGACGTTCGCGACGAGCAGCCGGTCGCGGTGCAGGTAGGCGGTCACCGCAGTGGTGCCAGACTCCGTTGCCTCGAGGCCTCTCCGCCTCTCGATGTCTCGCTGCGTGGCCTGGCTTGGCATTGGGGGGAGAGGGGCTCTCCTGGGTCGGGGGGCTTCCCCCAACGCCAGTTCTTCATCCCGAGCCGGTTTCCGACAGCGCCCAGCCTAGGACGAAAACTCAGGACCACTCCAACTCAGGACCTCTTTCCTGCAGGGCAGCCTGGTAGGCCTCCTCCAGCGCCAGTCTGGGGTTCGTGTGCAGGTCGCTGCTGTCCATCAGGTTCCTGCTGAGGGTGTCCTTCGCGAACTCCGAAATGCGCTTGCCGCGGTGCCCGTGCCCGTCGAACACGCCCACAAAGCAATTGGAGCCGTTCGCGCTCACCACGTACGAATCCTGAACACACATGTGTATGCATGTATGTATGTATGTCTGTCTGTCTGTCTGTCTGTCTGTCTGTCTGTCTGTCTGTCTGTCTGTCTGTCTGTCTGTATGTATGTATGTATGTATGTATGTATGTATGTTGATGTATATGTATACACAAATGCTTCCAGGTGTGCATGTGTACATATATATATATACATACGTACAAATCTCGATGTATATTTACGTGCTTATGTATACAACTTTGTATTTACATGTGTACGAATGTGTGCATGTATGTCTGTGCGTGCGTGAGCGTAGACTTGTAGATGCGGAAACAATGTTCGACGTCGACGGCGTTCGGAACCGCGAAGACAGGAACACGAAGGGTTCTGGGCATCCTCATGACAACAGATGTGGCGGACATCGGTGCGTTCCTCCAACACGCCACCCACAACACCCCTTAGATCGTTAAGCTCGACCTCTGTTTCGGCCAGTGCATACATATATATATATATATATAGATATAGATACATATTTATACATATATTTGTATATATATATAGATCTGTATATACATATACATATATACAGTAAGTAATGGTGCGACCCCTATGTTGCAACATAGCTCTGCCCCGGTTTGTAACCGCAGGACGACCCTAACAATCGAACGTGATATAGACTTCTTCGGCATGGCAACTGCTCTGATGTGTTTTCGGCTGCGAAATATGATCTGCGGGACAGTCGCGCGGTCGAGCAGCAATGGGCATGGTCCAGCTGCTGCGGAGGACCTCTGCCCTCTGTGGGATCCTCCTCGTGCCATGCTGGAGGCATGCGGGTCGACACTATTGAAGGCGAGCCTGGAATGCTTTTTGTATCACCCCTGCCAACGTCTCCACCATGCATGACTCTGTTCGCAGCCCGGCTCAAAGGGAACAAGACACCCGCCGACCTCCGCCTGTCGATGGGTGACGAGGCGTGCGAGACGCTGTCCGGCCGGCCCCCTCCCCTCTCCCCCTCCCCAAGGAGTCCAACACCCAGCTCGAGGGGGCGGGGCGAGCTCCTCAACGCACTCCGGGGGCTCTCCAGGGCCTCGAGACGTTTACAAGAGCAGGATCTCCACTTGCGGGTTTCGTGCAGGTTGGGTTTGCAGAACAGGCCTCGCGACCCCTCCACCCTGCATGTCGAGGCCGCCAGATCCCCAGGTCCCCGCATGTCCCCGAGAGTGCCGCCTCGCGCCACTCTGCAGACCGCGGCCGCCAGATCCCCTGGTCCCCGAGAATCCCCGGGTGTCCAGCCTTGCGGCGACAAATCAGAACATGACAGCATAGAAAGAAGCATCATATTATAAGCTAAGACAGAACAGGGCCCAGCACCACCTCAACTAACATAACATATCCGAGTGTCACATACCGCATCATGACATAACATTATGTAGCATAACACACCATGACAGACCAGTGCATACCATAACACAGCATCACAGCACATACCATTCCGTATCACGACAAAACAAGCGTACAATACTAACGCGTCGCGTAACTACACACCAAAACAGAACACGCCACACCCTCACATACCATGACATACCAAATCAAAACACAACGTAAAATAACAACGCGTGCCGTGACAGACCGGGGCGCCCACAGCATACTTCGACATAGCATATCATGATATCACACAGCATGCTAGATAAACCATGCCATGCCATACCATGACAGAACACACCACAATACAACATGGCATCACCGATAAAATGACATATAGCATCGCAGCACAGATGACAAACCATAGCATAACAACGCGCGGCATACTATGCTACAACATAGCAGACCATAACACACAATAAAACCATACGCTATGGCACGCTCAATCGTACATGACCGAGCAGAATACCACCCCTCATAACACAACATCATCGAACATACCATAACATGCCATGACAGAGCATGTCATAGCATACCATACCGTGGCAAACGACATCACGCCGTAGCACAACATCAACCGCATATCATTTAAACCATGCCAAATCATACAATGACAGAGCGCGGCATGGCACATTATATCATAGCGTACACTGATGAAATCGGAACAGCATACAAACGAACGCACACAATATCAGACCATGTCAGAACAGGACAACACACATGATACATCACATAAAACGCATGCAACGGCATCATGGAGCATACAGGGCACAACATAACAGCACACACCATAACAACACATGGCAGGGCACACCATCACACAGCGTAAGAGAACATGTCATGACATTTCGCATACTTGCTGAACATGCACTGGCCTAAATCATAATCCCAATACCTCAGAATATGGCGACACATACCATGACGGATCTCGGCATACCAGATTACCACAAAACAAGACATGTGATATAATCCGATACCATGTCCTGGCAGAACAGAGCATGGCAGAACACAGCATCGAACACACCATAACAAAAAAAAAACAAAGCAAACCACGACGTAGCGGAGCATGGCTGGGCATATCATCAGAGATCATAGCTGAGCGTACCAGACCTGTTTTAAGATTGTACCACGACGGCAACGTATGTTTTTCAAACATGGTATATTCTACGTAGCACCCCGCTGATGCGGATAAGAGTAAGGTGGCGGTGGGAACGTCATCAGTTTGCGAGACTCTGGAGAAGCCCGCCGCAGGTGCCAAAGTTTCACACATTATGCAACGAGCCCGCCGCAGGCGCCGATTTTTGTTAAACCAATGTGGGGAGGTCGCGGGTGGGTCACTGTTGGGTCGCGGGTAGGTCGCGGGTGTAGAGGGCAGACAATCCACTTCATAATAATCAACCCGACAAGCGAAGCTGTTTAGCAAACGCACACAAGGGATGAATCGAACAGGGCGGGGCTGTTCAGACAACGCCCAGGGCCGTTTAGTAAACGTCAATTGTCGGATCAAAGTGGTTTTTCATCCCTTGAGGGTGGGTCGCGGGGTGGGTCGCGGGTGGTCGCGGGGTGGGTCGCGGATGGGTCGCGGATGGGTCGCGGGGTGGGTCGCGGGTGGGTCGCGGGGTGGGTCGCGGGTGGGTCGCGGGGTGGGTCGCGGGTGGGTCGCGGGTGGGTCGCGGGTGGGTCGCCAGTGGGTCGCGGGGTGGGTCGCGGGTGGGTCGCGGGGTGGGTGGGTCGCGGGGTGGGTCGCGGGGTGGTTCGCAGGGTGGGTCGCGGGGTGGGTCGTGGGTGGGTCGCGGGTGGGACGACGGCAACAAACAACAACAACAGCAACACAAACAATAACAACAACAACGCAACAAGCAGAATCATCACCACGAATTCCTTATTCAGCCACGCACACAAGGACAATGAATGACAGTTCGCCCCCCTCACTGACAGTAGAGCAAAGGGTACCAGAACGTAGCACGATGTAAGGAATAGAGAACAGAGCACAAAGTAACCAGCATACCATAGCATAACTCTTTCACGAATGAAACTCCTACTGCAAAGGGCATGGCATAATACAGAACACTAGGCCTTTAAAAAATGTATGTCATATCAGAACAGGGCATCATGAACTGGCATGAACTCAGCATAACGTCGACCACATTACTGAGCAACGCATCGCATAACATCAACTGTCAGTCCATACCACATTACATTTTAGCACGGTGCCACAGAGAGCCATACCATATTCTAAAACAGCAAAAATCAGACCTAAATCGGAGTATCATGTAATAGAACACCGCACTACAAGTTGGCCAACGCGACGTGCGCGCTGGAGTCAGCCTGGCCACTGGACCAAACAGGTGGGGCAACAACCGACTGGACGACTTTTCACGCGTGACAGGCGTCACGTCAGACTGCCCCTACTGTACTACTACTTCTACGACTACTTCTACGACTACTTCTACGTCTACTTCTACTGCTACTCTTCTTCTTCTACGACTGCTACGACGACGACGACGACTACTACGGCTACTACTACTGCTACTCCTACTCCTACTACTCCTACGACTACTACTACTACTACTACTACTACTACTACTACTACTACTACTACTACTACTACTACTACTACTACTACTACTACTACTACTACTACTACTACTACTACTACTACTACTACTACTACTACTACTACTACTACTACTACTACTACTACTACTACTACTACTACTACTACTACTACTACTACTACTACTACTACTACTACTACTACTAACTACTACTACTACTACTACTACTACTACTACTACTACTACTTACTACTAACTACTACTACTACTACTACTACTACTACTACTACTACTACTACTACTACTACTACTACTACTACTACTACTACTACTACTACTACTACTACTACTACTACTACTACTACTACTACTACTACTACTACTACTACTACTACTACTACTAACTACTACTACTACTACTACTACTACTACTACTACTACTACTACTACTACTACTACTACTACTGCTACTGCTACTGCTACTGCTACTGCTACTGCTACTGCTACTGCTACTGCTACTGATACTGATTCTGCTGCTGCAGAATTGAGGACATGTTTTGGAGTATCGCACCACGCGTTTCTGAGGTTAGTTTTTCGCCCCAAGGCTTGTTTCGGTTTCTGTCGTCAAGAGCTCTGGGGCTGGTAGATTTCAAAAGAACAGCTAATTGCGACCTGGTCAGACCGCCGCACTGGCCGACACCACCGGGCCACGCGCACGTCGTTCAAATGGGCGCGAGCACCGTCGGGATGAAACGCAGAAGGTTTCGGTGGGTATCGCTCGAAGCAAAACAATTTACTCTGCGTTTCTGCCCGGACGCTTTATGCGCAGAGACGTCTAAACACATCCAGACCCTTACCCGAAAAGCAAGATTTCTTACAGCTGCGATGCACGTCGGTTACGCTGTCAGGCACGCCACTGGGGGAATGGCGAGCCACCCAAGGCCACGACGCGATTTCTAACACCGCGACTTTGTGGGCCGGGCTGATTCGCAGGGAGCAAGCAGGCACGTGGGTTGCCCCTGCAGAGCCTCTGCTGACCTGGCTGCTGAAGAGGCCCCTTCGCTCTTCACCGTGGTGATGAAGAACGTTTTCGCCAAGGAGTCACGCCGAGCCAGCCTTGCGCATGCATGGGAGTGCACGCGTGGGCACTTCTCAGTATCTGGGCCATCTTCCTGGAAGGCTGCTGGAGAGACTCTGGGCCAAAACGAGCAATGCAGATCTCTGAGCTGCTGGTCGGGGCAACTGTGACCTCCGAGGCTGGCAACGCGGCAGAACGCCGCCTGACTTGAAGGGAGGTGGGCTCGAGGCAGGCTCGACAGAACGTGTCGCGGGAGTGTCGCCGCCCCTCCTGAAAGGAACAGAAAGACACGATCAGAAAGACACGACACATGACATGCACTGCTCATTTATACGTCGTCCTCTTCCTCCTGCTCCTCCTGCTCATCTTCTTGCTATCGGTGGTCATGCCGCTCCTTCTTCTGCTCCTGATCTTGCCCCTGCTCTTCCCCACCTCCCGTAGCACAATGGAAACGAAACGCATGCCGCACGCACACGCACCGCCGCGACCATGTCTTCCCCAAGACATCCAGCGACAGCACACGCGCCTCCACTGGACCTCTCCACCCTTTGCCAGGGACTGGTTTTCACCCTGGATCGTTGCCTGGCGATACCAATGCCCGAAAAGCAGCAATCGAGGAAGAACACCAAATCCGGCAAACATCATAATCACGGCGGTATCGGCCGTCCCCTCAAGGACGCAGCAGTTCTCCTGCGCGCTCGGCGACCAGGGAACCGCGCCCGACCCTCGACCGAAGACACCGACGACACCGACGTCGGCGACGACGACGTTTGCGGAGGCGACAACCCCTGAGACCCGAGGTGGCGAGCAAAGTGCAGCATCGCGAAGCATCACGACCGGAGCCCTATAGACCCCATCCTTCTGCGGCACCCTCCCAGCCGGATCGGTCCGTGATCGGCTGCACGCACGGATGCCCCCAGGCACCGGTGACCTCTGGTGCGCGGGTGGGTGGGGAGGGGGGGGGCGCCGCGGGGGCCACCTCCGAGCGCGCAGGCCCTTGCTGTCGCGTCGTCGTGCTCCGCGACCGGGGGGCCCCCCACTGGGCCCGCGCCAAGGGGCCCCGCAGCGAAGGGCCGCTCTCGCACGCGGTCGCTGTGCTGGCCCCCGGGGGGCCCGCAGCCGGGCGGCACGCCCGGGCCGCGCAGCGACCGCAGCGCCCGGAGAGCTCGGCCGGGGCGGCGGGCGGCCCGGCCGCCAGGAGGGGGAGGAGGAGGAGGAGGAGGAGGAGGAGGAGGAGGAGGAGGAGGAGGAGGAGGACGAGGAGGAGGAGGAGGAGGAGGAGGAGGAGGAGGAGGAGGAGGAGGAGGAGGTCCTGGTTCTCCGACCCCTTCCCCAGGTTGGCCAGCGTCGCGAAGCCCACCGCCGTGCGGGGCCACCGCCCCTCCTCCGGGCCTCGCCGCCCGGCCGGCGGCGGGGCGGCCCCGCCCCCGATCGCCCGCGGGGCTGGCCGGGGGCCTAGCGCGCGCGCGCGACCGGGAGGAGCCCTGAGCTCCTGGCGTCGCGGTTCTGTCACAGCGGGCGTCTTCGCCCAGTTCCGGACCCCCAAACCCTCACGGATCGATGTGGCTCGGAAAATGGCGCAACAAGATGACGGCCTGGGGTTCTGGTGGGGATTTCTTCCGATATCTCATTTTCCCCGCAATGTCAAATCTGAGGCAACTGAATCCAGACGAAGGAAGCCCAGAGGGAGGCCAAGCACTCCATGCGGAATCACTCTGGAAGAAAATCGAACACTCCGTGCGAGCTCAATCAGGGCGGACTTGGCATCAGAAACATCTGGAGGGGCTGAATTCGGACGGAATGAGCCCGGACAGAGACCGAGCACTCCGTGCGGACTCCACTCGGACTTAGGGCGGCGGCGGCGGCGGCGGCGGCGGCGACGACGACGACGACGACAACGGCGGCGGCGGCGGTGGCGCCCGCGCGAGCGAGCGGCCCGAACGGCCGGCCGCCCCGCGCCGTCGCTCGGCGCCCGCGGCCCGGGCCCCCGCGGCGCCGATCGGGCGACGGCTCGTGCGAGCCGCAATCGGCGCGATCGGCGCGATCGTCGGCTGCTCGCCGACGAGGGCCCCCCCCATCCAACCCGAGCGGAGGTCTGCGCGAAGCGCGGATACCTTTGCTCCTCCTCCTCCTCCTCCTCCTCCTCCCTCTCCTCCTCCTCCTCCTCCTCCTCCTCCTCCTCCTCCTCCTCCTCCTCCTCCTCCCCCCTCCTCGTCTCTGCTCGCCGTTTTTCTTCCTTCCCCCCCCCCCGCCAAAGAGCCGCGCACCGAGAGCCACTCCGACGACAACATGCACCCCAAGGGTGCGGGAAATGGCCGAGCTCCAGCCTCCGCTCTGGTCCAGTCTTCGGTCAGGCGTGTCCCCCTACAGGCGGACTTTGGACGAACAGAACAAATACACCACAAATGCGCAAACATAGTCAAACATTGTAAACAACAAATCATCCCCAGACTGCTGTTTTACTATTTTTGAATTTCCCCCCTGTAGAAGGACAAGCACGACTTAATTAAGTCCAATTCCGGATCGGGGCATGTCGGGGTTCAGTTCCAGTTCCGGCTCAGCTAGAGGTCGCTCCTATGCCCAGACCCCCGACGTCGTTACTTTTTATTCCCAACTTCGACCCCCTCGAGGTCTGGGCCCCTTCCAGGGGACCGGTTGTTAATCCTGAGTCGCTTTTGCCGGCCCCGAAGCCCGGGAAGGGCCCTGGAAGCCGAAAACAGTGCAAAACCTCCCGTCGTGATTTTTTCAAAGCGCGAGGAGGTCTGGGCCCAGACATGCGACGTCCTGCTTTTTTCAAGACGACGTTCCTGGAAATCCAGACCCTTTCCCCAGGACCCGCTTTTCACCCCCCCTGACGGTCCCGGGTCCCCGCGAGGGCCCCCCGAGGCCGACATTGGCCAAACACCTCCCGTCCTGATTTTACGACGCGATCATGTCTGGGCTACCCGTCGTCGAGATCGGCCCACGCCCGCGGGCGATCGCGGCGCTGGCGGTCGGCGGGCGACCTGGCGGCGCGCGAGCAGCCGGGGCGCGCGCCGCCGGGGCCTCTGGCGGCGGCCGGCGTGGCGGGCAGCGTCTCCCCCGGCTCCCCCATGGCCGCCCGGCCAGCGGCGGGCCGCCGAGGGCGGCGCGCGGCGCCCGCGCCGGGGCGCGCGCTTCGAAGCCGAGGGCGGCGCCGGCTCCGCCGCGTTTCTCTGCCGCCGCCGCCGGCCGCAGTGGTAGATGCCATCCTTTTTCGTTCGTCGTTGTCGTCGTCGTCGGCGGGCGGCGCCGTCGGCGTCGGCGTAGTCGTCGTCGTCGGCGGCGTCGGCGTCGGCGTCGTCGGCGGCGTCGTTGGCGTCGTCGGCGTCGGCGTCGACGGCGTCGTCGTCGTCGCGTCTCTGGCCCGAAGATCCAGGCGTCGTAGACGAGCTTCGCGGACCTCCTCGCCACGTTTCGTGCCAAGGGGGCTCCACGAATAGACCCAGCTTGAAACATCCCTCCCGAAGATGGCGCCGGGAGCTCCGCCGTGATCTTTCGCGAGGCTAGGTCTTCGCAGCGTCTGATCCAGGCGTCTTGGGAGGCGGGGGCACGGGGCGCGGGGACCCAGAACCTCGGGCGCCACGACTTTTTCATGACGTCGGCCCCCAGAGGTCTCGACCCATTCCCCCGGGCCGATGTTTCATCCTGGGTCGTTCCTTGAGGCCAGGAAAGGCGACACACCTCCCGCCTTGATTTTCCACGACCTGAGGGGGCGCCAGGACGAGGGGGCAGATGCGAGAACCATCCTCTAACCCTTCCGCGCAGCGCCGCCACATAGTAAAAAAAAACCGGCAAAGTCAACAAATAATCAAACAATCGTCCCAAGACTATTTTTACTATTTTTGAATATTCCTCCTGTAGAGGGACAGGCTCGACTTAAATCAAGACTCTGGGGGCTCCCTCCCCCTCCCCCCTCCTCCTGCTCCTGCTCCTGCTGCTCCTCCTCCTCCTGCTGCTGCTGCGGCCGCGAGTCCGACCGGGCGCTCCGCACACAGGGTGGACGAAGCGTCCTGCGCGCACCCGGGCGGACCCAGGCAAAACGGCCCCGTGGCCGCAGGGGTGCCCCGAAGGGCTTCGCCTCACAAACTGGTCCCGAAGGGACCTAGACGAAACCGCGGAGGAGCCCTCCTTCGCGAATCCTGCTTTCCTCCGTTTGGGGCCTGCGCGCGGATTACTTAGGGCGGCGTGTTCTCTTCTAGCTCTTCCGCGGCCTCCTCCACCTCCGCCACGCCTGCTCGGCGGCTTCGTCGTCTGGCACACTCGTCGCATCATCTGCTCCCCGGACTCCGCCTGTTCGCCTCCTGCTCCTGCTCTTGCTCCTCCTTCTGTTCCTTCTCTTCCTCCTCCTCCTCCTCCTCCTCCTCCTCCTCCTTCTCCTGTTCATCCTCTCCCCCTCCCCCTCCTCCTCCTCCTCATCCTCCTCCTCCTCCTCCTCCTCCTCCTCCACCTCCTGCTCCTGCTCCTGCTCCTGCTCCTGCTCCTCCTCCTCCTCCTCCTCCTCCTCCTCCTCCTCCTCTCCTCCTCCTCCTCTCCTCCTTCTCCTCCTCCTCCTCCTACTCCTCCTCCTCCTCCTCCTCCTCCTCCTCCTCTCCTTCACTGGGGGCTGATCTGTGGGGGTTCCCAGATTTAGATTCACCCAGAAACCGCTCTCGTAACCTCTTCACGACGCACCGCCCGCCCGCGACGTCTGGGTCCTCACCGACGGGGGCGGGCCGCACCCCTGGGGGGTCTCGGCGGCGATGCTGGTCCTGGGGCGCAGTCTCGGAGGCACGCAGGCTGCCCTGCTGGAAGACGGAAACCTTTGGGCGCGAGGCGTCAGTCCGATCTGGAGGCGCTCTCAGAGGCATCCACGTCCGAGAGGGGTGGTGGCAGTCATGGCACGAGGCATGTGCGCGGCCCAGGGGGGCCAGGGGGCGCATTGAGATAAGAGAAGGCGCCGTGACATCTGGGGAGATATCGTGGCCCCCGCCATGATATCCATCCCCCCCCCGGTCATTACCTCCCTCTTGGCCGCTCCCGACGCTCGCTGGCTGGAGGGGCCTGGGCCCGGGCACGAGGGAGCAGCCAAAAGGAACTGCTAATGAGAGGGAGATGCTGCGGAATCCCCCCCCGTGTGCGGGCTATGATGGGTGGGGTGGGGGTCGTGGCGACGCTCAGGGCAATGGAGGAGAGCGAAGGCGCCGAATCAGCAGGATACCCAGTTCGAACTCTTCTCGACGGGATCTGCTCCTGCACCGCACGCTCGAACGGACGCATGATTATTATTTCAAGTGTTTCACAAGTGCCACTTGGTTCAAGACTTCAGAGCACGATGATTGCCGCCACGACACAATCTCTCGAAGTCAAACATGGGACGGCCCGTCCCGCGTTCTCGGATCGCGAGCTGCAGGCTTGCCCTGGGTAGTGACTGCTGGACGAGGGGGGCTATCCGCGCACAATCTTCCCACGGGGTCGCATATGACCGAATACAAACTCAACGTAGGGCTTGCGTGTGAGAATGAATTGTAGGTGTCTTGCCCCTGACTTTCGATTCCAGCGCTGTCGAGATGATGATGGAGCTCTGTCAAATTTCCTTCCGCGTCCATACACTTCCCCTGTCAGCGTCTGCACGGAAGGAATCCCAGCGGAGATTGGGAAGATTTGGCGCAAGTTCGACGCCAACTGTCCGCCTCGGCCTCCCCGCCCGCCGTTCCCTTCGTGACGCCGCCGCCGCCGCCGCCGCAGGCGCCACCGCCGCCGCCCGCTGGCCCCCCCGCTGCCGCCGGGCGCGACTTTTCTGCCAGCGGCTTGGCACGCCCGACATGGGGACCGAAGAGGGTGGGCCTGTTTTCCACCACCACCACCATAAGTTGGAGGGGGGAAGGATGTGGAGGAGGAGGAGGAGGACTGGACTGGACTGGACGATCTGCGCATGGTCAATCTCTGAAATCAAGAGTTCGGAGGGCGACCGCAGGGCGCTGCTGAGACGCTATGCTCATAGCGTTGCCAAACTTCCGAGGGACCCCCTCCCGAACGACTCGGGGACACCTCGATCGGAGAACGGCACAGGGTCGAGATACCTGCACTCGTCTACGCATAGACGGACAAAAATCGAGAGAGCTCTCTCACAGTGTGGAAGGACCAAGGGACGAGGGACGGACGAAAAGAAGCAGGGGAGCAGAGGGAAGAGGAGAGAAACAAGAAGCAAATGCTTGAAACGTGAGCTAGGGAGACGAGGACGGTCAGGTGCCTGCAGCACCTCCTCGTCGTCCTCGGCCTCTGCCTGAACCCTTTCCTCGGCGTCCTTTGCTGGAAGAGCTGCGACCTGGATTCCACTCACCCCTGAATTGGATTCGATCACGCTCGAGAACAGACCCACGGGGGGGAGGGGGAGGAGGGGGAGGCACAGCGGGGACGGGGTGGGACGGGTTGGGTCCGTTCCTAAAATCAGCATTCGCTCGAGGCTCATTCTCGATAAGATTCACGCTCGCTTGTGTCGGGCCCCTCGGAGCATTTTCTCCAGGGAATTCTGGACACGGCGCTCTGGATTCGACCTGGGGGGGGGGACCATCTTCGCAACGCTCCCCAGACCGAGGAGAAGGGTGGAAATCACAGCATTCATGGGAAGAAGCACTCCGTTGGGGCCGCTCACCCAACTGTTGATGAAGAAAGTGTGCCTGACCATTTTCGGGGACCCATCCTTCACGTAGGCCGTCTTGGCCCTCCAGTGCTTGAAGAATTCCGCGGCTACGACGATCGGCTGACCCTTGATCCACTCCAGGAGGCCCTTCAGGGCCTTGATGCTGTCTGCCAGCTGGGGGTCCGACTGCAACGACGTGTGGCTGGCGATCGTGGTCAGTACGGCCATCGCCACGCATACACTGGGGGGCCCCATCTTGTGGTCGGGATCGCCCTGCGCCGTCTCGACGCACTTGGTTGCAGCTGCCACGGCTGGAGGGTTGATCGTGCACTCGCTCGGAACCAGATGCGTCGTCAGGACCGATCCCTCCAGCGCCCTCGTCCTCTGGGCGACATTCAAGTAGCCCTTCATCACCGCCTGCGCCGTCTCGTCCTCGCTGTCGTCGTCGTCTAGCGCCACCATCGGAGTGTCCTTCCTGGAGTCTGCCGACTGAGATGCACCAGCGGCGGCATGCCTGGGCTGCTTTTGCCTCTTTCCGAGTCCGCCACCTGAGAAGAAGCTCATCTGAGAGGGATCTGCCAATCTCTTCTTGGCAGTCTCGAGCTCCGTCGGGTCCATCGGAAGGTTCCGAGCCGCCATGGTGCGTTGATGCGTCAACTGCAAAAGAGAGAACAGCTTCAGAAAGATCAACGTGTGAACGTATATGTATCTGAAGTGCTGTAAGTGTCGGGTGATCACGACCACAGGCTGGACATTCAAATGAGTACGGTTCCACGATAGGATGATGTGCAGGGCTACGATCACAATGACATATCTTATTCTGGAAAAGTCGACGTACATGTTGCCGTGAAATAGCATGTGTTGAATGAGTGGACGTGCACCATGGACACTGGTTCGTTACTGTTAAAATTTGTGATAAAGCCCGCTCTCCATGACTCCCCTCACGACAAAATCTCATATGAGCGTACCACCCCTGTTGTTCAGTAGATTCGAGCCCACAAACGGTCCCGTTATCCAGAGTCCCTTGGCAAATCCACGTTTTTGGGGCCAGTGGGGGGACAGGGTCGGGAGCGGCATTGGCATCGGCACCTCCTCCTCCTTCTCCTCCAGCTGCAGCAGCGGCATTAGCAGCAGGAACCCGTCGACGCCCAAACTCATCTATCATGTTCTCCCAGTAGAGCCCCCGAAGCCTCTGGACATTGATCTTTTTGAACCTGGGGGCGAACTCCTCCTGGAAGATTCTGAAGTGAATGCCCCCCATGGCCTGCAAGAGCTCCGCGCCACTATCCAAGAGTGTCAACATTTTAAAAATCGTTCAACACCTGGAGAGCCCGCGGGTTGCCTTGAAACTGTCCTGCGGCATTGCGTACAAGGAGCCAGTCTGGGAGAGTGGGCTCGGCTTCGCCAGTCATCTGGCCAACATAGCGGCGAGCAGCTGACGATTGTCTTCTCGGTGGTTCGCAAGTTGCTGAAGCCATCGAAGACGGCGAATTCTCTTTTCAAG